AAATCTGTCTGAAAGAGGAAGTTTTTTTTTGTGGGTGCATTAGTGAATTCTGTAAGTTTGAGTGTCCAGGTGGCTTAAAGAAACAATCAATTTTTTTTAAAAAAATCAGGATGACAGATATTGGCTTTAAGCAAAAATAAGTTAATATGGCGCAGAAAGAGGCCATCGAGTCTGCACCAACCCACTGAAGGTGATCCCCACCCAGACCCAGCCGTCCACCCTATCCCCATGGCCCCACCTTTACTATGGCTAATTCACCCAGCCCTGGACACTACAAAGCAATTTTAGCATGGCCAATCCACTAACTTGCATATCTTTGGACTGTGGGAGGAATCCGGAGCACCCAGCGGAAACCCACACAGACAGCCACATACAGGTGGAATTGAACCCCAGTACCTGGTGCTGTGAAGCAGCAGTGCTAACGACTGAGCCACTGTGCCACTCTAAAAGTTGACAGGAATAGTTTGCTTTAATATAGATGTCGTCAATGCTGGTGGATTTATTTGTCTACTGAGTTGCATTTGCATGAACTGGTGTTTGTACAATGCGAAGCTGATTTTGCCCATTAAATAACATTTTTTTTTCTAATAGACTCATAGAGACCTACAGCCTGGAATAGATCCTTTGGTCCAACTCATCCATACTGACCATGTTTCCCAAACTAAACTAGTCCCATTTGCCTGTGTTTGGCCCATATCCCTCTAAACCTTTCCTATTCATGTACCTGTCCAAAAGTCTTTTAAATTTTGTAACTGTACCTGCATCTACCACTTCCTTTAGCAGTTTGCCTTAAAAAATGCCCTCTAGTTTTGAACTCCGCTCTCCTCCCCAAAGGGAATAGACCTTTGCTATTCACCTTATCTATGCCCCTCATGATTTTATAAACCTCTATAAGGTCCACCCCTCAACCTCCTACGCTCCAGTGAAAAAGTCCCAGCCTATCCAGACTCTCCCTGTAACTCAAACCCTCCAGTCCCAGCAACATCCTGGTAAATTTTTCTGAACCTTCTCTGATTTAATAATATCCTTCCTATATCAGGGTGAACAGAACTGTTCATAGTACTCCAAAAGTAGCCTCACCAACATCCTATAATAGTTTTAGTAAATTTAAGATTAATTAAATTACTTGTCAGGTGAAATAATGACTCCTTTATGTTAAAATTAAATTTTATTTCTGATTTAGCAATTGAGCAACATTTATTAATTTATGGTTTGACTTTGAACAAATAAATAATCAATGCATTGTATTGAGTCTGTGACATTATCCCTGTTTTAGAATAGGGCATTTTTGGTTGCTATGGAATATTGTTTCCATAGTAGCATCTGCCTGGGGCTCATGATAAAGGTCACAATGTTCAGTTGTTGCTTTTGTGTAGTTAGATTTGCCCAGCAGTTTGAAGTAGCATATTAATTTATATTTGAACAACTATTAGGAACTTTTGTGGTAACCAATGCAGTTTTTTTAACTTCAATCTTCTAGATGTTAGAAAGTACATTTTAATTCAACAATAGAACTCAGTATTTGCCTTGAAATCATTATTCTGTGAAAGTAAGCTAGTTCTGTATTCGTGAGTTTCATTGTAGGATTGTAATTCAGTACAATTAAAATGATGAGTTATTATTTGAAGATTTATTCTTGATGAAAATGTTGTAAAACGTATGCTGTGAGGACAATAAGAGGTGCTGCATGAGGTTCCAACTGCTGTATAATCGGGTCAAGTCTTTTTTATAAATTGATGTTGTCAGTCATCAGTTGGGCTGTTATTTCCTATCACCTCCCATTTACTGACTCTGCCAGTAATAAGCAGCTTGAGAGGATCCTTGATTGACATAAGGTTCTGGCTTTTCATTGATCGAATTGAACAACACTTTTTAAAGTGCATTTTAAGTGATCCTGAATACTTGGTAGGTGACCATTTAATGTGAACATAAGTACTTCAATTCAAAGAAGGGTCCAGACCCGAAATGTCAGCCCTCCCGCTCCTCTGATGCTGCTTGGCCTGCTGTACCCCTTGTTATCTACAATTTTGAAAGATTTCTTTGGACAGCTGAATAAAAATAAAATTAGCTTTAATATAAATGAATAATTAATCTTCCAGTGATTGACTCTGTAGTTTTATACATGCAGATGGAAATATTTTATACAATTTAAGCAGCCAAATCCAGGCTGTTACTTAATAAATAAAACTTCACTGTATTCCTCCCTAAATGTGGTAAAGTTAGTCAGAAAATTCATAACTGTATAATTTATCTGATCCAGTGTCAATTAGACTCTTTGTGATGGAAAGCTTACCTCAGGGTTGAATAGGATACAGAGATGCTAAAGCAGTGGAGCTACAGTGGGAGTTGGCAGAGAGGGTTGGCCTCCAGTGTCGTAGATTTATAAACTAACAGACCAAGACTATGGAATGGTGTGATGTAAATTTGTAACTGATGTGGAGAATCTCATCGCTTAAATTCCACAATTGTGGCTAAATATTTGAAGAGAAAGTAAAAAGTGAAGAAGGTTTACTCCTCCAGTTGTAGATTCCCTCAAAAGCAAATTTAAGTTTTTTCAAAGAAAGATTTTATTAATAGTCAGGTGGAATGCTTATTTGCACTTACATGTTAGAGTTTATTATTTCCCTGATCTGAAGTCCTGAATGTAACAGATGCACTGAATTAATACATTTTAGAATGGTACAATAATCTAACAGAACACCTTATGATCATTCACAAATGTAGCTCCAATGCAAGATTTTTTTAAAAAAAACCAAGAATGTTAGAATGGCCTTGAAGTATGCTTGTGAATCATTGCTGAAGAAAATTTTAAGATGCTAAGGGAAGAAAGTAACTTATTGTGCTCAGAGTTTATTTTCAGAGTTTATGCTCCGATGAGTGAAACAAGTCAGTATAAATTTGTAGTTGAGATGTTACTTCTTTTTTGCTCAATCTTTTTGGTAGTTTTTCAGCGTCTAGAGTGCTCTGTAATTTTGCTACTGGTTCAATAGCATTTGAGGGAATAGACCTTGTTCAGTTCAGTGATTTGGTTACTTTTAATAAGCAACCATTCGATCTACACAAATTAATTTTAAGTATTCAGTCTTTTGATTCTCAGATCCCTTGTACCACAACTTCTCTCAATTTTTCTCTGGGTTTCATTCTGTCTATATTTACTTTTGCTGTGTCTTGTCCTTAACAGGTTCCCCTCCACCCCCAACAACCACCACCACCACCTTCTATCTTTGCTTCACTTTCTTTTAGGAGAAACTACAACCTTCAGGTCAAAAAATTAAATAAAGACCTTAAAAAAAACTTTAAAAAATGCTCAAAATTCCTGTGAAAACGTTGTTAAAATTCTGAATTTTTTAAACCTTAATTAAAATTCATAATGTCTAAAATAAACTGGAGAGAGCCGAATGGATGGCAATAAAACCCAAAAGATTTGGATTTTGGAAGAACCTAGTGGTTGGATTGTGCAGGTACAGAATTATATTGCAGTAAAATGCAGCTAATATACTATTGTGCAATGCAGACTTAAAGTTTCTGTTTCTGTTGAGTTAGTTAATTATCTTGTTCTGTTGAGTGAATGAATATTATCAAGAAAATGTTGGTGTTTTCTCTGTTATGGTTTTCAGTGCATGCGTATTCCAGAAGGCATTCACCATATTCCCTGGTGATTAACAGGAAGTTATTTTTGAAGTTTTTTTGTGGCAAGGCAATCAGTCATTACTGACATTAGAACCACAGAGCACCAGCAATTGGAGTCTGTCTTATTTCTCACTATCAGCACAAAGCAGACCAATTCCAGAATAAATACAGTAAAAGCCTATAATTAGTGGATTATAGTTAAATGATTTTAAACCTGGAACTCTGGACCTTACTGTCATCTCCATCCATCTTGTGTTTCTGTCCTTTTATAAATATTGACGCATACAAATTATTTCCTTTGCATACAATACTGATAAATGCTTTCTGCAATTATGGCACAGTTTTCATTTGGGTAATTGGCCTTTCATAAGTGAGTCCATTTTGCAGGAGATATTCCAAATAGCAATGTTTGAAATGGCTGTTAATATCCATTGAGGAATTACAAATCATCTGTACTCCAATCTGGATTCTGATGACAGTGATGAACTATTTGATCTTCACCTTCACAACTTTTGAGTTACAATGTAATCTATCCTGGGAAACCTCTATCCTTCTAACTCTGACTTATTCTGTCTAATTGTGTCACGTGTGTATTACAAAACACTTACAATTCGTATTTGGTCACCCCTCTGTAAGTTGACCTAAAATCCATTTTTAATAAAAGGGTAACTTTGATGCTTGATTTGGATTATTCCATTAACAATCATAAGTCACTTCATAGAATCATAGAATCTCTACAGTGTGGAAACAGGCCCTTCGACCCAACAAGTCCATGCTGACACTCAAAGCATCTCA